AAGTGCGATTCAGCCGAAGGCTGGAAAAGAAGATTTGTCACCGTGATAGAGGAAGGAGAGAAGTCGTATACAACGACGTCAGATTGGAATAGCTCTTGACCACTTGTGACTGGCCAGTCGAGGAGGAAGATACGACCTGCTTCTTAGAGGACGAGAGCCTGTGGTGAAAGTGCCTCAATTCCTCGCACAAGGAACTTGGAACGAATTGAGAGCCACCAAGGATATGCTAGAGAGGAGAAGAGCACTGAGTCTGGATCCGACAGCATCACATCCGAGCGACTGGTAGCCAATCCTTGCAGAACAACTTTGCAAGAAGATCTTCGAAAGTACAAGCAGTCGAAACTTTTAAAAGCAGCACAAGGAAGGAGAAGCCTAAAGAAGTACCGCAGGGACCTTCTCGACTACTTGTTCCGCCGACAACACTACAAAGACGGGATTACACATTTTTTCGAAATAATGGAATAGATCACGAAGAGATTCTACACCGATCTCCTTCGCTCATCAACACCCGTGTCAAACCCCGTTATCCCCGATGAAGAATACTACCACGGATTTTACATGAGTACGCGATCTAGATAATGAAGGCACGGCTCTGGGACCAGACCATATTTCCCCGACTCTTACAGGCTGGAGGACATCGCTTACACGAGATAGTTGCAGCGCACCTAATTCATTACCAGAATAAGGATCCCCAACCAGTGGAGAGCCTCCCAAACAATCCTTCTTCATAAGAAGGGCAATAGGGAGGATCTTCGGAATTACCGTCCAATATGCCTGTTGAGCGAGCTTTACAAGCTCTTTACGAAGATCATTCTCGCTCGTATATCAAGGCACTAGATGACGCCCAATCTATAGAACAAACAGGATATCGCCAGGGATTCAGCTGGTGGATCATATCCAGACAGTTTCGAGAATTATTGAGGTTGCCGAGAGTATTGTCTACTCGTAATAACCTTGTCGACTATGAGAAAGCGTTCGGCAGCGTCGAGATTAATGCCATAATGTCAGCGCTCGTCGACCAAGGGGTGGACTATACGTGAGGAAATTGGCCGGCTGCTAACTCTCTAAAGCGGTACAGCTTTTCCATCCTCTTCTTAACATACTTCGAAAAGGGTTCGACAAGGCGACACCGTGTCGCCAAAGCTGCTTATTGCCGCGTTGCGGTGGGTGATGAAATACTGGATTGGAAAAGAGAGGTATACGAGTTGATGAGAGATTCCTCTCAAACCTTCGTTTCGAGGAGGACATTGTTTTCTTCTCGAGGAGTATCGCTGAAGCGAGACGATGCTGAAAGAACCAAACGAAGTAGTGAAGCGGATAGGACTGCGAGTCAAGCGGAAGAAGACTCAGATCACGAAGAACGCTTTTTGCGAGGATCAGGAAATGAAGTTAGAAGGTTCTCCAAGCGGAGACGTCTTTTACGTATATCTCAAACGTTGGACGAAAATCGAGAACGATCTGAGAGAAGAAGTAAGCACGAGGCGAAGTGCAGCTTGGGCTGCCTTCGGGCCCCTAAAGAGAGGCCAAGACCAGCTGACGGACCCAAAGCTCCGAGCCCGCTGTTCGAAGCAACTGTTCTCCCTGCACTGTGCTGCACAGCAGAGACGTGGCCTGACACTGTGGCTACGAAGTTCTCTCCGAACAACCCAAGCGCAGGAACGACGTCTTCTGAAGTACGACCGACGCACTCAACATTTCGTCGGACTTCGCAGTTCAGATATAAGATCAGTGTCTCGTCTTCGCGATCCAACGGAATACGTCTCTAAGGCAAAGCATCGATGGACTGGTCATACAATGAGAAGGCAGACAAAAGATGAATACTGAGAACTCTGGAATGGATTCTTGCGAAACATAACGTCCTCGAGGGAGGCCATCGACTAGATGGGCTGACGTGTTCGTTGCACGGATGGACCAACTGAATTCTCAGCTGGTAACGAGTAATAATCTTTACCTCGCGAATGTCGTCGCCGCACTTCAATACCAACATCGTGGATGACACTAGCGAAAGACAGAAACGGATGGAAAAAGTGCTGTGGCACGAGAAATGAAGACAGGCCATCTAACTATCTAACAAGAGCATGCTTATACTCCAAGTAACCATTCAAAATAAGATATATTCCATCATACCAAGTTGTGTATGGGAAACTCAAATCTGTCTTTCGTATCTGCGAAACTGTTTTCTGGAAGAAGATATGGGCACTTGTTTCCATAAGGCCACCTACAATAAGGAGTGCTTGCGCAATCACGCCAAGTGCAGGGTGGCGCAGTGGTAAGTGTCTTGGTTTGCTGATGTGCGTTGCAGGTTCGAATCATGTTTTTGGTGAACTTGCGTTTTTTTGCGATGATGTAAGTTGCTTGATAAATCTTGAAAAAACACTTAATTGTCTGTATAATAGTCATGAATATTTACTGCATAAATATTGAAAGGGAAATGCACCTACATGAATATCATGATAAGAGCATTTCCCTTTCCAAAC